GGGGGGGGGGGGGCGGGGGCGGCGCTGCGCGGCCAGGCCTGGTTTCTGAGCCCCTACCTGGTCGGCTGCCGGCCCGAATGCTAGTCCGCACACATCACGCCATCCCACGTTGCGCGCCCACGCTCCATTGCGCGATTCCCCATGGCACCCACAACCCCGCACCCCGCCTCCCTTGGAATCGCCTGACTGCAGGACGCCATCATCCGGCTGGTGAGTGGCACGCCTAGAGCGCTCGGGGAACGCCCAAACTTTCATTGATGAGACTCAGTTGGCTCGGCAAACGCTGACAAAACACAACAGCAATGTCACAGTCGCTCCAGGTTGCGCCGCCCCGCAGCTTCGCCAACAGCACACAGCGGCGTCACTCGGCTCGCCTCAGCCGTGCCCCCTCTCCCCCCCCCCAAAAAAACTTGCCCCCAGGACATGAGTGAGTACATGGAGCGCCACACTGTGTCGAAGCTCATCGGGGCGCCCCCCGGCTACGTGGGCTACGGCGAGGGCGGCAAGCTCACAGAGGCGGTGAGCCCCGCCTGGGTCGCGCCGCTTGGGGGCCGCCAGGGTGCGGCCGCGGGGTTTGGGGCGGGGTTGGGGGAATGGGCCGGGAGACGACAGCAACGCAGGGGCGTGAATGCGGCGTGTGGCCCACAGGTTTAACTCGGCAGGTACAAAGGGCTGCTGCGCGATTCCTGTTCATACACATGATGTTTTTGGCGGCTCGGCTGACGAGTGCACTCTATCATTCACTCACACGCCGTGCATCCCCCCAGGTGCGGCGTCGGCCGTGCGCGATCGTGCTGTTTGACGAGATCGAGAAGGCCCACCCCGACGTCTTCAACGTGCTGCTGCAGGTGGGGCGGGGGCGTCCACTGGGTGCGCGCCTGGCTTCTTGTTCTTGCGGGGCGGCTGGTGGGGTTGCGCCACGCGGTGGGAAGCACCTTGAACACGGAGGATTGCTCGGCGTGGGGGGCCCCTTTGCCTGTCAGTCCTTGCATGTCACACTGCGCCCGCCCCCTTGTCCTCCCCCCATCCCGAACCATCTGCAACCCAATCCACTCTCTGCCCCCCCCCCACACCTCCCAAGCATCAGCGCCCCCAACTTCCACCCTTGAATCCCCCACTCACCCTCTGCTCCAACCCCAACC